ATGCTTGTATGACTTATTTGTATTTGTAGAGTTGTGTTGTGATATCTTCCCGTGAGTCTCTGATCGTGATTGTACACGTTTGCGTGTATGATTAGTGCACGGTCAAATTGGGGGCGTCACAATATCACACTTGGGAAAGACACTAAAAATGATTTACACCATGTCTTTGGATCAAGTCTTTCAGTCCAGTGGAAAGCAGCTGCACTGTGTCCATCCATTTTCTCACAGTTTTGGCTCCACTTAACCATGTTTGGTGCTCTTGCAATGGCCCACAGATCCTGCTTCAGTTGCTCTCCTTTGTGCTTCTCATTGAAATTCTGATAAATATGCCTAACACAAAACCTATGCTCAGCATCTGGCTAGATTTTTTGCACAGCATTGATCAAACCTTTCTGCTTGTCACTCATAATAGTGAAAGGAGCAGTATTTGTGATGTTAAGGTCATCTCTCAATGTAGTGAGAAACCACTCCCAAGAACTAGCACACTCTACTTCTACCCAACCCATTGCAATGGGGAAAATGCAGTCATTAGGATCAATACCCACTGCACCAAGCAACACTCCTTTAAACCTATTTTTCATGTGACAGCCATCAATGAAAATAATAGGCCTGCATCCCTTGAGCCAACCCCTTTTGCATGCATCATAAGACCAATATAGAGTTTTCAGACATTTCCTGCCCTGTGGGAAGTCTTTGTCTTTAACAACCTCAGTTGACAGAAGAAATGTAGACCCAGGGTTGGTATTCCTCAATTCATGACCATAGTCCCTAAGCCTACTGAACTGCTCTACTTCATCACCATGGATCTCCTTAAGTGTTGCAGTTCTTGCCCTAGCTAGCTTCCATCTGTTAGGGGTGACATGAAATTAATTGGTGGTTTTTCTTGAAAATATACCTAGTGACATCTTCTGGTCATCTCTGAACTCATTTATGAAATACTTGCACAGGAATTTTGCTGTCAGTGACCTTATCTTCCATTTCTTCTGACACACATGTTCTCCATAGTAAGTCTTGATGACAAAACCCCTTGTCCTGTTGTCATTGCAAGCATACAGATACCATGGGCAACCATCTTCACAAACTGCTTCAAGTCTCCTCTTATCATTCTTTATCTTCTTGATCTGCACTCTGTTTCTAACTGAATATGCAGTCAGTGCATGTCTTAGCTCAACCACATCAGCAAATACCATCCCTACTTTAAACACAGGGGAAATCATGTCCACCTTTGCATTGAAAGTTTTAAACTTGTAACTAAGTTCATCTGCTTGCTCAGTTGATAGGTTGAGATCTTCATCCTCAAGCAAGTATTCAGGCTCCACATCATCCTCATCCTGATCAGCTTCTTCATCAACATCAAAGTCAATGTTGTCATCATAAAGATCATCATCACCATCATCTATGTCATAGTCACTGTCACTGAAATTAGAATTTGAAACAACTACATCTTCAATAATTGTTTCTCCATCTTCAGTTAGCATGTTGTGCTCAGCACCCTCAATAAGCAAACTTTGTGGGTCTGTTCCAATTGGTGCAATCTCTAAAAAGGGATCTTCAGTTAGCAAGTTCTGCTCAGCACCATCAATAAGCAAAATCTCTGGGCTTGTTCCATTTGCTACAATCTCTGACAAAGGATCTTCTACAAAGACTGAAACTAGGCTATGGGAAGGTGATGCATTTGCTGTTGCAGAACTTGTTGTTGATGGTATCAAAGATAGGGGCAATGTGCACACCAAGTCAGACCTGAAGTTGCTGATGAAATCTGTATGGTCAACCATGACTACAAGCATCTTATGCTCAGCACTAGCTCTTATCATATGATGCACATCCTCATCACTGCTAATTCTGATCAAACCATCTCAGATTGGTTTATTTGGTTTGCTCAAGTAAATGATGTGCTCACTCAAAGGATATCCCAACCAAACCAAGTGTTGTTCAAGGAATGCATAAGAGAAAGTGCCAGAGTCAACAAAGTCTAGCACCTCAACAGAAGGGTTCCAGTACTCCAGGTTTCTGATTGGGCCACAGAAAATTCCACCATGCTCAAGTTTCAGTGTAAAAAATGGACTGTCCACATTTTCTCCATTTGCTGCATCACACACTGTATTCAAAACAAAGATGCATCAGTTGAAAAACAAATATTCAGTTAACTGAATAAACAAAGATTTAACATACTTGAACAATAGCTTAAGGTTCAGTTAACTGAACCTTTCAGTTATCTATAGTAAGCTGAAAAAAATTCTGATAACTACAGTACTTGACAAAATTCTGATAACTACAGTAACTGCAAATATTCAGTAATCTACAGTAACTGAACATATTCAGTTAAATACAGTAATTGAACATATTCATTGAACTACAGATAACTGAACATGTTCAATAGCAAAAACTAGTTAAATTTCACAACACGAACAGATGCTTGAGTAGAGTACAGGCTAAAGCAGAACAAAAAGGCAACTACAAAGGCATTAACATCTAATTTGTCCCCCATAAACCCTAGCAATCGTGTCGAACCCAAACCTAATTTCATCGGCCGAAAACCTAGCTCCACTTCGCCATACATGACCCTACTGAAAAAACACAACTAGACGACCCCGATTCGAGCACAAATGGACGCGATTCGAGCTGCAAACGGCGGGGCGACGAGCTCAGAGGAGCAAAGCAGAGGAGAGGAGAGGGAGGAAAAGAAAGCAGAGATGGGGCGCCGAGCTCACAGTAATCAGGAGGGAATGCACCCAACGGCCGGACGAGATGAGCAGATGCCGGCGTCTCCACGCCGCCGACGAACGGCGTCGACGACGCCTCGGTCGCTGACGTCACCATCGCCTCGCTAGCCCGTGAGCTCTGTCGCCCCGACAGCAACCAACCTCTCCCTCTCGAACGGACGTGAACTCGATTCCGACAGATTTAATTTAGGTGGGGGTGAGTGCGGGTTGATTCAGTGAAACGGCAGGGGATTTTGTGAAAATATGCATGCGCTGACCGGCCCAGCCAATTGGCGAGTTCTCATTGGTCTAGGACTAAAACATCACATTGGATGCAAGTTGGGGTATGGTTTGGTCTAGTTTTGCAAGTTTGGGACTAGATCATCACATCCTATACAAGTTAGGGTACCTGGGCTGCTATTACCTCTAATTTTAACCATGCGCCCTGATGCATCCAACACGTGGTGCCATACAACCTCCATCACATCCAGAATGCCTGCACCTGAAAATTCTCATTATATTTGGGAAAGTGGTAGGAGCGGTTAGGCCTCTGCACGGTGGTTCTGAGCTCGCCGTTTTTGCTGTACTTGAGTTGAAACATCGACAAACGGATCATGCACTTGCTACCGGTGCTGGTGCATCGCCTCCGCTTAAATCTTTCTTGCGGCACAACCTCGACAAGACAATAGGTACTGTCACCCATGTACACAAGACTAGCTGGGACGTGCCTATCCCTGTATAGCCTCATGGCCTCCGCATGAGGATCGAACAACCTCTCCATGCATAAATTCCAGGCCGGCTGCGCGCGCGGGGCTCTCGTTGGGACAAATGACGTCGCACGAGGAGATGTAGCCATCTGGGTCTCCATGCGCCTTGTGGAGCCCAACCCATGCGTCGAGCTCCTTGTTGTAGTGGACTTGGCCGAAAAAGGGTAGACCCCACTCGCAATGGCCCGTCCACTTGCCGCTCTCGATGTCGTTGGAGTAGGTGCGGGAGGGGATGCCCTCACCGAAGTGGCCCAAGGCACCATTGCCAGCGCCCTCGCTCCAGGGGTCCGAGGCTCCACCCCCCTCCACCGATACAAACAGTGTGCGCCCTCCTCCCTCCGGATGCACTGCGATCGACAACATTTGGTACACGTTGAAAGGGAGTGTCGATGGGATGCTGCTCCATGACCAGTGGTCTCTGTTCCCGCACCAGTACGCCTCCCTGTCCGTCGGCGGAGGCACATCTTCGAGGTGATGCATGCATCCTTCGGAGCAACCCTCCTGATCATCCAAGTTGCCCACGAAGGTGTACAACTGGTTCCCGGCCGCTGCGGCGTGGATCCAATGACCATGCAAAGGTTTTGGAAGATCAGGGATGATAGACAGCCCCGCTGTCTCGGTGTCATACGCGAGGGTGACGCAACCTATCCCCGGGGAGCTTAGATTTTCGGTGGCGATGATGTTGCTGCCAACGGCGGCTAAGCTCCAGTAATTAGTTTGTTCGCTTGATTGGCGGTGGACGGGAGGCCGCAGGGCCAAGTCGCCGCCGTCCGAGCCGTCGTGCAGGTCCAGCTTGTGGATGCTGAAGCCCTTCTTCCAGTCGTTGAGCACCAGGTACAGATGCCCCTTCCTGTAGCCTGCGGACGTGCGGCCGTATCGGTGAGCAGAGGCAGGGGTCATGACCTTGGCCTCCGAGCAGCGATCAATGTGGCTGTCCCTCGTCTCATCCTCAGACGACATGTAGCTCCCGGACGGGATCGTGTCCGCGCGGCAGCCAAGGCGGCGACACTCGTGGCGACGGGAGAGGAGATGGCGAGGGTGACGCCCAGCGAGGAACGGCCGGAGCATCGTGCCTGCGGTGCGCGCGCCGGCAGATCAGCGCCAGGGTGTGGTTGCTAGGAGCTGCTAGGGTTGCGTGAGATCGATTCTTCCGGCCGATAGACTTTTTTTGGCCGATTGACGTGTTGTTCTCCGGTGCGAAACTGCGAATGCTGCGTTCCGGATCAGGGATAGCTCTGCTGGTTTTGGGCCTTAATTTGAGTGGAAGCCGACGTGCATGGATGGATTATCATGGGCTCAGTACGGGGCATGGAGTATGATGATTTTTTTTGAGGGAAACACCAAATTTATTTAAGCAAAGTTAGGAATTTCATCCGCTAACACACTAAGAATGCAGTCAGGCGGCGACATCCGCCATTCAACACACACCTCGTCCCCTACTGCTAGCTTGGCCAGAATGTGAGCGGCTCTGTTCGCTGTCCGCCGTCTCCAAGTGACCTTGCAGCCATTCCATTCATGCATCAATCGCTTGATGTCTTCAACAATCGGAGCAGCAATCGATAGGTTCTTGCTGTTGCCATTGATCATGCTCACCGCTTCTTTGCAATCCATCTCAACCTGTAGCTGCTGCACCCCCAGCTCACGCCCAAATAGAAGCGCTTGACTGCACGCCTTCAACTCCACAAGCTCAGGCTTTGAGGTATAAGGGAAGAAGTGGGCCATCGCCCCTCGGAACGCTCCCCCATGATCGCGGAGAACCACACCCCCGCCCCCATGGCCAGAAGTTTTGGAAGTCGCCCCATCCACGTTGGCCTTCATCCAGCCCAGCTCCGGTGGTAGCCACGCCTCCGGCACCGGTTGTGTAGAGTCCCTGGCCTTCTTCCTCACTGCTTCGTACCACACATCCATGAACGAGGAAACAGATGCCGCGATATCATGTGCTGCTTTGATGCGCATGCCCTCCCTCATCTCGTTCCGGGCTAACCACAAACCATAGACACCCTGCATAAGCATTTCCCTTTCCTCGTCCCTTGCATCTCCCATCAAGCCCCTAAGCCACCTTCCGACATCATGATTTGAAGATATCCCGGCCGGCGGGTAGGCTGGTGCAATGCTTCTCCTCTCCGCCAATGCCTGCCAGAACAACTTTGAGTGATAGCACGTCCAAAAGCGATGCATCAGATTCTCCTCTCTTCCACAAACCGTACAGAAAACCCCTGGCTTAATTCTTCGCCGATGCAATTCAGAGCCAGTTGCCAATCCATTTGATATGAGCCTCCATGTATGAACCTTAACTTTATTAGGCACTGGGAGCTCCACAATGCAAGCCAGTTCCTATGAGTCACCATCGAAGACGACGACCCCGGCCATTCGGACGCCGCTCTTCTCATGCTCATAGCCAAGTGGTATGCAGACCGAACTGTGTACTCCCCATCTTTAGTGTAATTCCAAGCCAAGATATCCTCTACTCCAATCCCTCCCACCGGAATCTGCTTGATGTCCGAAGCATCTTCAGGAGAGAACATGGCATCAGCTTTTGCTTCATCCCACATGTTTCCATTCTCAATCAGCAGGTCAGCCACCCGCGTAGTACCATGCATGAAAGTCTGTCCCGGTGGACGAAGATAGCCCTTCCTAGGGATCCAATTGTCATGGTGAATTAGGACCTTAGACCCATCCCCGATCCTCCAGACCAATCCCTCCCTCAAGAGGTGTCGACCATGAAGGATACTGCGGAAGGTAAACGATCCATTTGAGGGGCAGGTAGCATTCATGATAGACAAGTCCTTAAAGTACCTCGCTCGAAGCACTCTGGCACATAGCGAATCAGGGACTTGCAAGATCCGCCATGCTTGTTTCCCCAAAAGAGCTTGATTAAAAGCTTCGAAGTTCCTGAAACCCATGCCACCCTCACGTTTCGACATGCACATTTTCTCCCATGCGACCCAGTGTACCTTATTTTCACCATGAGCTGAACCCCACTAGAAGTTGGAAGAGATGGATGTCAGGTTCCGGCACATTTTCTTCGAGAGTTTGAAACAGCTCATAGTGAATGTCGGCGTCGCTTGCAGACCAGATTTATTCAGAACTTCCTTTGCAGCTTTGGATAGACCTTGACCCTTCCAGCCAATCACTTTGCCCTTGGCGCTCTCCTTAACATACTTGAAGGTCACGTCCTTAGATCTGCCCACCGCGGTCGGTAGACCCAAATACTTCTCGCTGAGGGCTTCGGAATTAATCCCAATTACTCCTTTCAGAATTGCCTTATTGTCCTCTTGGCATCCTTTCCCAAAGAAAATGGATGATTTCTGAAGGTTTACCCTTTGACCTGACGCACCCTCATACACTTGCAGAATACTCCTAAGGGCCTCCATATTTCTTTTTGAACCTTCCAAGAAAATGATGCTATCATCAGCAAACAACAGGTGGGTAATTTGGGGGCCGGTGCCTCCAAATGACACGCCACGAATGCGATTATCTTGCTGAGCTTTCTTCAACAAGGCCGAAAAACCCTCCACACAAAACAGGAACAAGTATGGGGACAACGGATCACCTTGTCTAAGGCCCCTAGATGGCAGAAACAGCTTCGAAAAACCTTCATTAAGCTTCACCGAAAATCTGGCTGTCCGGACACATCTCATAATCATATCAATCCAGCCTTGGACAAAACCCACCCGCTGTAAGACTTACTACAGAAACGACCACTTCACTCGATCATAAGCCTTCATCATATCTAGTTTGACGGCACATAAAGGTTTCTTTCTCTTCCTTTGCCTGATTGCATGCACACACTCGTACGCTATCATGGAGTATGATGATTGATGAGCCCAAAACTAAGACATGGCTAGGCCGAACGTGGCACAGCCCAATGCAACCAACAGTGACGGTTGCCTAAAGAAAAACCAACAGTGACGGACGCTTTGACGCGGTGTGTAGGCTAGTCACGGTCTCGCGGATGGTAAATAATGCCGGCGAGCTCATCTCATTACGCCGCGCTGTCACGTAATAAACCTCGCTTGACACGTGACATTAGTGAAAGAAAAGAAGGCGTAACTATGCCCCCGCAAAAAAAAAGACGTAACTATGCTACGCTGCAGCTCCAGTACCTGCAATAGCATGCAGCCGCTCCGCCATCAAATGGCTAGAAAGAAGAACGCGACGGACGTTCGAATTTCAAACGCCAAGCCAGCCGGTCCCCACAAGGGGGCTCGTGGACCGCGACCACCCACCGGCGGCCCCAACCGCACTGCACACGCACCAGATCGCGCGACGCCACAGGCCGTACGCACGCGCTCCCACGTCCTTCTGTCTTCAATGAGTTTTAAAAGTTTACATCTCAAACATAAAAAGTTTTACAGTTTTTTTCAAGGATCTTCAAGTTTTAAAAGTTTGAACCGATCCTACTTGGAATGAATGGGCTTGTGCTGCATTTTTTTTCTTGCATGGTGTTGCACTTCATTTTTGAAGGCTCTAGCTAACATTGTGTGCCCTCCCTCCACACTCGCAAAAAAGAGGTATTTCGCTAGAGGTGTATGGAAAATGTTTTGGGGGCAATTTATGTGGCGGGAACATGTCAATTCTACAAGCGGACACGACAGTTGTCATAGCAAAATCCTCTGTTGACAGAATTGTCATGTGTTCTGAAGATTTTACCATGTGTATTACGAAGAATTTGTCATAAAAATGTTCACAAATGTCATCTCTCCCGACGAACATTCGCTGGCTATTGAGGTCGAAAATAAAACATTCCACATAAAAAATTTCACGAGCTCAAGTTCTGATGTGGCTCGTAGGTTCAAGCTGGACTCAATATGTAGCGTCTTAAAAAAAGAAACTCTAGTGATCTTGGATAATCTTACTTTCCCATCTCTAATGGAGATTAGGTTAATGCCTTCCTTCCCTCAATCTCCGTTGGCGAGCTCGTTGATTTGCCTGACGACCATTGCATGGAGGTGAATTCTAGTAGTAGATAGGTTAGGATTTCGGTCTGCGTAGGTGGAGTTCAGATGGATGACGACGCTTCTTCTTTGAGTCAGTCTTCCAGGCCCCGTTCTCCTCAAGTTCGTTTGTCAGGATGCGTTGGAAGGAGCTTCGGCATAGATTCCTGACACCTCCTCGGGGCAGGGAGGATAGTGTTTCTCATTGTGCATACACAATGAAGAGATTTGATTTCAGGTTCTTTAGATCAATTCAAGGATTCAACGGCGACGACTGCGGCTCTGGAGCATTGGTTCTTAGGGGCCTACACGTGCTTTCTTGGTTGTCATCGATAAGTTCGGGTCGACTCTGATATGCGAGTGACGACAACGACGTGTTGATGGCTCGTTCTGACAGCAAGAGTGATCGGTGGTCTAGGGATCTCAGAGTAAATTTTTTTGGGTGTTTTGTACAACTTTTTATAACTGATCTAATAGATCTAAGTCCTTTCCAAAAGAAGTAGTCTAGGACACCTTTCATGGCATGAGATCGACCTTCGAAGATGTGAAGTTGTACGATAGCATAAGTGGGCGCAAAAGTAAGTTACACTTTTTTCCAAGTGATGATATAAAGTTGGTAAAGTCAATATTTATATGCAACATAAAAATGATTAAGAGGATTGCTGTCAGATCGATGCACGTTCTCAAGAATTCAAATTCGCCTAGTGTCTTTTTTTGATGTGGAGACCTTTTTTTGCGAAGAAGGGCTCGAATCTATTATAAGAGTACACTAAAAGTACAAATCATTCCCAACATAATAAAAGCCAACATTGAGGTCCTTGAACCATTGAACGACCATTACCGCCGCCAATACAATTCGTTGGCGCGCCGATGTCGTCGCTCCCCTACAGGAGCTCGAGCTTGCCGATGACAGTTGGTAAGTCTTCGTGCACATGTCCCTGGACCGAGGCCCATGAGCCGCATTTGTTGCCGTTGAACCCTATTGATCCGAAGCGCCTAACATCATATGTCGTCATCACGAACGCGGAGTGAGAAACAATAACCTCGTTGCCTTAAGGAGACGACATGAATTTACTTTTTTTTTGTGAATACACAAAAAATTATGCATCATTTCATTGATAGGTAGAAGAGAGCAATTATAGCAGAGAGACAGGGGGCACCACACTAACAAGCTACACATCCTAAACATCCGCCTAGCCCGAACACTGGCCACAGATGGCAAAGAGAAGGACACATGGCACACAAAACGCGTCACGACCAACACGGGAAACCTCCATCGCGTGGCCGCCACCCCAACACAAACCAAATCAAAGTAACCCCCCCCCTCGCCCAACACGACATGAATTTACGCCAAAGCTCCATAGAATCCGTCATAATGGACATGCTCGAGGAGAATTAGAGCCCGAAAGACCAGCTCGAAGATGAGACGTCTTCATTTTCTGAACACCGTCCCTACAAGGAAAACAAAACCAAACCTAAAGTAATGGCCAGAACCAAGGCACCCGAATTCATACAAAAAATATTAAAAATCCTATCTGGCGACCGTTCGCTGGGAGATGGGTGGCAAACGAGCCCCTTTTGATGGCATTTTTAATTCTGAGACAAGATCAAACGGTGGCAGCTTTAGACAAAAAATTGCCTTCTCTGCTAGAAACTGGCATGTCGCTCCGAAGAACGGCCACCCCTCACAACTAAAAATGCCAACGAAATCGTTCGCAAGTGTCAATGTTCGCCACCTGGGGGTCCAAAAATATCGAGGAATGGTCAGATGGAAGCATGTTTGGAATTTCAGTTCACATTTATTACCAACTTGCTTGAGAAGTTCAAAAAAATTCGAACCTCACAAGCGGCAGTAGGAAGTATACCTGGCCAAACGGGCCGGCTCGGCACGGCCCGGCCCGGCCCGCCGTAAACGTGCCTGGCACGGCACGGCCCGTCTCGGCACGAATAATAACCGGGCCGTGCCATGCCGGCCCACGGGCGGGAGCTAGCAGCCCAGGCACGGCACGTAGGCTACGTGGGCCGGCACGCGGCATGCCCAAGCACGCCGGCCCGTTGGAGGACGCTGGGCCGTCTGGCGCGATTTTTTTCTTTTTCTTCGCAATACCTCTGAAAACAGCAAAAAAAAGGCCAAAAAAATTAGAAAATTGCAAAATCTGGTAGACTATTATGTGAGATAAATCTAGAATTTTATTAGCACATGTACATCATTAAAACTCCCATCTAAAAGAATAAAAGAATACAAGACATACTCTATAATTACAAAAGGATAAAAAATACAAAGACTACACTATAACACTACTACTACTTAGATTCAAGCACTAATATAATACATATGCACTATGAAAATATTAAACATATTAGGGTATTTGGTATTTATATAGGACATATATATTTATATTTTTCAAAAAAACATAAACGGGCCGTGCCGTGCCGGCCCGCGTGCCTAGCCTCCAGGCCCAGGCACGGCCCATGGCGTGCCGCATGCCGAGCCTGACCCGTTTAGCCCGGGCCGTGCCGGGCCTGCGTGCTACCGGGCCGGCCCAGTTAGCACGGCCCGTTTGGCCAGCTATAGTAGGAAGGCACGAGGGGAGGGGCTATCCGGTATTTCGCGCAGCACCACCCCCAGCACGGCCGCACGCTCCGTTTCTTCCCCACGAAGCAGCCCCCGTCCCCTCCCCTCTCCAAACCCAAACCAACTCGACGCGCACGCGCCCCCCCGAGACCACCACCAGACGCAGCTCGAGCCCGACCGACGCGG